CATTGAACATGAATGAAAAAGGTAAGTAAATACCCTCCAAAAAAGCATCACGACTCAACAACTCCCAGCAACAGACCATCCACGATACCAAGGCAAATTCTTAAGAGGACAAACATGTCATAGTAGAGACCAGTAAAGGGCCCAGTTCGTCGTCAAATTGTTGAGGCAATCGATGATATGCTTCAAACAAAAGTTAAAACAGTAGTAAGAGTCAAACGAATCCACGAAAATTGCCACCTGTTAAGAGAGATAACAAATTTGTACCTGGCACCCCACAGATCCAAGAACGAATCCAACCTTTGATTGTCCAAATATATATCATCCTGACGATGATACCCCAGGGTATGTTGTTCTAATAAACAATGGGGGGGAGGCATAGCAACTCCCTCACGTAACTGTATTGCAAACCTCCCTGCATGCACAGCAATATCAGGAAAAGGAGGAAAAACTAAATAATCCCTTTGAGATAGATCGGACAACAAAGCAGGGGTAGACTCAAAAGCAACTGTTTGCATCTCCAAAACTTCACAAACACATGTAACTAACTGTAGAAAAGGGGCAGAAGGTGGCTGATCAGATGAGTTCTCAGGAGAGGAAGCTCTAGTGAAAGAAGGAGCAGGAAACAGAGATTCTAAATTCTCCCCAGAATATCCCGTTTCAGAATGAAAATTCAAACCAGCACTTCCCAGCAGATACCCACGGGCCGTATGAAGTACTCCATCTCACCCCAAATTAGTTCTGTTGAGAGTGCCCCCTCCCCCCAACTACTGACCACCATTAGATAACAAAGGAGGAATAGACGAAAGCTGAGAAGCTTCCGTGCTTGAAATTGTTACACGGGAATTCATATCCAATTTTTTTCTTTTTTGTTGGAGAAAAAAATATATTTCCCGATAACAAAACAAAAAATTCCCGATTATTAAGAAGCGAAAACTAAGAAAATGTTAGTCTGAATGCTTGCACTTTGTCGAGAAAAAAGTGATTTTATTGTCTGCATACAGTACCTGCATAGAGGGCGCGTGAGGGCCACCATAAAGTTTTGCAAATTAGATATTGCGGAGGGCAGTCGAGTGGGATATATAAAGATAGGAGGTATGTATGTTTTGGAACACAGAATTTATTAATGTCTGCCACAATGAAAAACTGTAGGCATCAATCACTAGGACTAAAAGACACCTGATTGGTTTGGTTTGTTCTTGAATTTCGTGCAAAGGTACCTGCACCAGCCATCCCAACTCAGCAGTGAAAGACTAGAGGGAAGGCAGCTAGCCATCACCAACTCTTAGGCTACTCTTATACCAATAAACAGTGGGATTGACCAACACATTATAATTCCCTCACAGCTGAAAGGTTGAGCATGATTGGTGGGACAGGGATTCAAACCTCAGGTTGTAAGTCAAGCACCTGAATCGGTTTGCAAAGTGCAACAATAATCAAACTGTGTCCACTCCTCAGATATTGCTAAACTTTTCATTTTGTGGTATCATAGCATTTATAATATGATCAAAACATTATACATGTTACAAAAAAAAGATCAAAGTTAGAATAAAGAGGTCAGCCATATGAAGACATGATACACATGATGTAGAAACAATTCAGTTGAACAAGAAAAACTGAGGAAGACTTGCCCCCTATTTTATTGTAACTAAAACAAGAGCAGCAACATTTTCTTTTTACTTACGACTTTATTCTGTCTTTTGGATCTTCTAATTGCTCTAAATCTTTATAGCTGAATAACCCTGCAAGCCTGAAAATGATACAAAATAATAAATATTATGAACATACTACTCATAAATATGTCTATGAAATACGGGTTCCATCATAAAACTTAAAAAAAAAAACAATCACACACTTCTTCACTATACTCACATTTATTTACTCAAAACGATAGAATCTGAATGAAAAAAAATTCCAACAGAATAAAGGTATTGATACATCTTATGTATATATAACACAAAAATCCTACAATATATGTGCAAACAAGTCTGAATTTTAAGCCTAATGAAACATCACTAATATTTTTTAAATCAAATATATTAATAACGAAAAATAATATTATCTTCTGATAAAAACAAAAAAGCTACCTAGAAAAATAAGAACTAGAAATGAACCCAGTAATGAGAATATAGCAAATTAATGATACTATTCTTATGTTAATACTTATATAAATATTAGAATTAATTGTTTCTTCTGTTGGGTACCCTCACTCTTAGCAATATTTTTGGCCATAATCCCAATCATACTCATCAGATTTAACCAGCTTAGAAAATGTAGGTTAGTCCTAAATCCATATACTAAGATAACAATAAAAAATATTATTTGTAACAACATACTTTAAGTGCATTTATCACTACTTTCACCTTTAACAAAACATCACTACAAACTCCAATACAATTATACTGTTAATATTTTATCACTTTATCACATACTTCACAAGAATTTTGAGCTATTTAACTTTAACATATCATAATCTACATTTAGAATTAACTTTGAAGATGAAGAATAGGTTACTTGAATAGTGAGAAACCTGACAATTTTTAAAATACTTATATTAGTGTACAATTTGTTTGTTTAATTTTGTGTAAAGCTATTGAAGGGCTACGCCCTGGCATGGTTAGGGCACTCAACTTGCAATCTGTGGGTCGCGGGTTCGATTCTCCGTCACACCAAACATGCTCGCCCTTTCAGTCATGGGGACATTATAATGTGATGGTCAATCCCACTATTCATTGGTAAAAGAGTAGCCCAAGAGTTGGCAGTGATGATTAGCTGCCTTCTCTCTAGTCTTACACTGCTAAATTAAGGACGGCTAGCGCAAATAGCCCTCGTGTAGCTTTGCACAAAATTCTAAAACCTAATCTAACCTGAAGGGCTAACCATCCCTAATTTTGAAGTGACAGACTAAATGGAAGGCAACTAATTAATAACACCCACCACCAAATCTTGTGCTAATTTTTAGCAAGGAATAGTGGGATTGACCACCATGTTCGAATACTGAAATAACTAGCGTGTTTGGTGATATTTCAATCCTGCAACACACAGATTGCGAGTCAAGCACCCTAACCACCAGGCCAATATTAGTGTACACAACCAAGAAATTATAAAAAATTAAGTTTAATTTCAAATAATTTTTTTCCTTAATTTATTTAGAAGAAAAGAGCTTCAGCAAACAAGTACAAACAAAATAACATTGTGTCGCAAGTACTAAATACTTAAAAAACTTTTAACGTTCAACCAATCTACCACTAAATGGCAAGGTAGACAATGCATTTTAAAACCATGAAAATTTACTAATGAAATCTTAATTAATCAAACTCACCAGAACCACGAAGTGAATAAATTATACATTGAAAACATAAACAAATGGAGAAAAAATTATATATTATTACATAGTACCAATGAAGTTAATACACTAACCTCTGAGTAAGTTGATCACCAATAGCACTCACAGGGCTAGAAGTAGCTAGTATAACATTCATGTTTTCATAACAAAACTGTAAACACTGTTGTATTAGTTCTTCCATCTGCAGAAAGTCTGCCGACACAAGCAGATGAATGGCGTACCTGGGTTCTGACAACAGTATACAGGTATTTTTGTTAATATCATACACTATACCTGAAAGTGGTGACTTTAAGTTATAGTACCCATAGTTGTAGGTTCAGAATATAGCTAAAAATTACTCTTACATTGAAGTATATTATTTTTTACATTACTCCCTCCATCCAAAATAAAAACACAAAACCTAAACAAAAGTCACGAACTCTGTTGATAAGTTCACTTATACCAACAACTATCTTGTTAGTATTTTACATGTTGTCTTACTTGACTGATGTAGAATATTTTTCCTTGCCCGTTCTTGATAAGAAAGAGATGATATATTTAAAAATACTCAAGTTTTTTGGGTCATTCTTATATTTCGACAGTAATTTTTTTTAGATATCTCCTTCCAAAATAACAGGTATCTATTCTAATTATGGAGTTATATAGATAATCAATCAACTATGTAGAGAGTAACATAGAATCCTTGACACAATTAAAGTTTTGCACTAGAAATATCTCATAAAAAAATCTCTTTATTTACTCTTCAGACCTTACTTTGTTCATTGCCAATTTCGTCATTTACAAATAAAAAAAACATTTACCAGAACAAATAAAGTGTCAATTAGATTACCACAACTCTGTGAAGAAATTCTAGGACTTGTTACACTTGGCAAAAGAACAATATTTTTGTGTAGATCCTGAGAAACTTTATTTATTAGTAAAAGATTAGACTATAGATAAATAAAACAAGAAAAGACAGCATTAAAACAATAGAAAGATAAACAAGAAAGGACAGTATTAAAACAATAGATAAACAAGGAATTAAACAATTTTAACAACGAAAAAACAAACAATAATAGTTTGAAAACAATAGAAAGATATATGAAAAATGAACAATATCCATACAGAAAAAATAATAAACAGTTTGCTTAATTTTATTTAAATGTGTTCTGTATCATCCAATCATGACATTCAAATTATGTGTGGAAATTTGCATTTCACTTTAAGTTTTCTGATTTGTTTTACTGAGTTTCATATTATATCCGAAACAAAAAATTAGATTATTAAACTGAAGTAAACATCCTTTCAATTACGAATTTATATTTGCAATCCATTGACTGGCTAAGATTATGTGAAGATTCTATATACTACACAGTGAGTACAGCCATAAATAGAAACAAAACAGTTTAACGAAATCTATCCCTATATATATATATATATATATATATATGTATATA